TTGGGGAAAATAAAACAGAAGTGATTCCTTCTCTACTGGGGAAAGAGAGAGACTGTGAAACGTACAAAAGGGTCAGCTGTTCTATCTTGGGAGGGCTTCTGAGTGTCCAAATAGGCCCACACTTGGAGCAGCTCCAGCCATGTTGGGGCTCTCAGGGTTGCCTGGGTGTGGGAACTGCATGGCACAGCTCAACAAGAACAATTAGCTCTATGATGAAGCTGTAATCATTGGCCTCCAGTGTGCCTATGTTTTTAAGTAGAAAAGGGCAACCGGAGTGTTCAACAAACCATTTCCTTCTGAGCTTACCAGAGCAACTTAAAGCTGTAGAAATCAAATAGGAAACTATGTCATGAATTCATTCCTTCAACAAATAAAAAAATCTTCAAAAAGAAAGTTTACTTCTAGGTGAGGCATCAGATAATTGTACCCCAGAGACCTTGCTCCTATCTTTGTCCTAAAGGATGATATCATTGCAAATAGGTGGTACTTACAAGATCACTAAGATTTATTTTATTTTATTGTTATTGATTGCTTGCTTTGAGGAGACTGATTTGAAAGGTGAATCAGTCAAGTTAGAGTTAGGAAAACAGGAAACAGTTTGGGTGTTTTAAACAGGGAATTTGATACAGGAAAATAGATACATGGTGTTAAAAGGCTAGAAGCAAAAAGGGGAAACTGAGATAACCCAAAGATTGGTAACTGTAGGAAATAGCTATTGGCCCTAGAATTGGGGGAATAAATAGGAGAAGGCAGAGTTACCAGAACCAAGTAGTACAGAGGAGGAGCCTCTGTGTAGCTGTTGCAGGGACTTTGAAGATTACACCATGAGGTCGATGCCAGGTATGCTGAAAGATGTCTGAGCCGCAGATATCTGCTATTAGAGGATGATAACAGAAACAGGAGCAGGAATAGAGCCCCTTATCTCCTCATCACACCTTCCAGTCTCCTAACAGTGTCTCTCATTGGCAGGACATAACTAGAAGATAGTGGGCAAGGGAACCTGGGAAATGTACTTTGCAGACTCCTGGCTGCAGTGTTACAGAATAGAGTACAGAAGTGTGTCGGTTTTGAGACAGAGAGACAACAGGTAAATGTCTGCCACAGAAGGCGTTCAAGCCCTCCTAGCTCCTTCAGAAATAGCACAGGAGCTTTAAATGGGGCAAAGACTATGAGGCACTTCCGTGACTTTTGATCTTGTGGACTTCTGATTTGGGGGTGGTCCCCTTTCATCTCTTTAAATTATGCTCCTCCTGTTTGGCCAATGTGACTTGAGCAGGACATGACAGAATTGCAGAGGGCAGGGAGAAGTACCAGGTAAGCTGAAGATGGCAAAGGGCATGGTTACTATTATGTACCTTCCTGTGGGTAGATTAATAGATCCCAAACTTGCTTTAGCTTTTGCATAGCTCCTCCTGATTGTACAATTTACATACATGTCCGAACTGTAATATACAGATGAGGCTAGTTGTTCTCTTGAAGGTAGTCACCCATGACCTGATTCGTGCTTCCACTGATCAAAACATTCTCTGAATTCCACTGAGGAGTTATCTTTAGAGTCTGTGACATATCCATTTGCCTTGTAATGGTGCTCAATTTTTACCTCTTTGAGGGTGGATTCAATATTTTCAAAATGGTCAAGACCCTGAGTTTAAGATTGGCAACTACAGTTAACCCTTGAGGTGGCTCATCTCTAGTTGAGGCCCTAATTGTGCCTTAATTGTGGCCCAACAAGACCACTTGTTTCAAGGTCACGCCACTGAATCCTCTGTGCAGATTATAATCCAAAAGAGGAATTCCTAAAATATTTGTAGCAACAGCAGCATGGATAGGCTAAGTATCGCCTTTGAAGCTAAATCCTTTGAAGGAATGAGTTATGTAATTGAGGTAGATAATAATTTTTGCCAGAAAACGTTAGTCTTTACCACCATACATTCTTTGGGAAAACTAGGAGGGGTGTTAAGTATTTTGAAAAATCAGTTTTATTCCCTGGGATAATTCCTAGATGCATAGATTACTGGCAGCCAAGGTTTAATCTATGCCTAGTACATTATGAAGGAAACAAACATTTCTTGTTGAAGGAAAAATTCAAGTGTAGTCATTCTAAAGTTTTAGAGAAAAACTGGATGCTGTCCTCCTTGTAATGCTTAGCAGGCCAGAATTTGATAATTAGTTGGTGAGCTGCTGGGGGAAGGTCACGTTCTGGCTTTTGGGAGCCAAAGGCTAGGGAAAATATGTAAGTTTTCAACGGAATGGTAAATGTCCAGTTTACAGAATGGCTGAGCCAGCCAGTTTTTCTCAGGATATTAAGATGGACTGTAGAATTTTTGGTCACATTTCCAAACCCAATTCCTGCTAATGTGAGAACTCACTCTGTGAGTTCACATGGGTCAGTCTGGGGCCTTCAATTTTTAATGCTCATCCAGAGAGAAATGGTTTGGACTGTGGAATGTGAAACAAAAGCTTCCTAAAGCCAAGGAATCCTGAGTTTCCCTTGGAGCCAAAGAGCAAGCAGATTATTGGTTGAGTCAAATTATCCATAAAACTGACAATGCATAAATTAGCTATGCATTTTGAACAAATTCTTCAGCACCAGTCATACAGAGCCTCCTAGCAGGAGACATCGTTTCTTTAAAAATGGATATCCAAGATATACAAAAATATTTACACCATATTATGCAGATGAAGTACTTAATCCTCCTTAAGCCAACTCTCTTTGTTTTTGACTTTTCACTCAAAGTTCAGCCAAAAAAAAAAAAATGAAGTTGGGTTTGGGAGTGAAGCAAAGCCAGAATGGGGATTGACTCAAAGTTCTAAAAAGGCGCTTTGTCTCAATGATTTTCCTCCCTCTGTATCCCAGCCTACCCCCCCACACACACACACCCCATCAATACTGCACCCATGAGGGGCTGGTTAACCTCAAAGCCTCTGCTTTGGCCCTTCATGGATGCTTTCTATTCTAAAACTATCCTTCCTGTCACTCACCCCTATAGCCAAATTCCATGTCGGCTTCTTCCAGAGAATGTAGGCTGACTAAACATTCATACAGAGGTGTGAGTGACGTATGAAAGCTATCATTGTTCAGTGCCGACGCCCGGACAGAGATCTGACCCGAGTTCTTTTACTTTTGGTGTGGCCAACGACAAGAAACACACACACACAAACGTGAGCATCCTTTGAGATTAACCCACTATCTCCCCTTATCACTGCCTCTCATCACCCTTTGGCCCAGGAGGTAGGAAAAAGACTCTCCTGGAGCCCAGTGTGTCCGTTGCAATCCCCCTCACAGGGCATTCAGCAGGAGCCAGGAGGAGCCTGCTTCCACATCCTCACTTACACACCCTGAGCCAGGCACTCCTTCAATTCCCAGAACAACCTTACGAGGTAGGTACTGTTATTCTGTCTGCGTTTCACAAGCAGAAACAGAGGCAGAGAGAATTTAGGTGACTCGCCCAAGTCACTCAGCTGAGAAGTGACCCACATCCCCGTCTCTTTCACCTAGTCCACACCATCCTGCCTCCCTTCGAGGCTTGCTTGTATTATTTTACGGTGAGAAGAGGCAGCCCATCCCTCAGTGGGTCTCTCACCAACGATGGCGCAGTGAGGGGTGGAGCCTCCTCCACCCCAGGGGAGAGCTGCGAGCTTTCTCATGTTACGGGCTGGTTGGAGCTGCGGTGTTATCACTCCACCAGATTTCCCAAGCTGGCCCACTTCGCCATTTCATGCTAGCTAATCTATCGCACTTATTCGAAATTCAAACTAGCCCTTACATCATCAAAACAAAAATGTTTACATTTCTTACCTAAAGGCCAGCTTGGATGACTTCGTACGTTTTACTTCCGTCTGCCAGAAAATTGTGGCAACAACAACACAAATCTATGAGGCACACAGGTGGTGCCAGGAGTTGTGCAATGCACAATTTTTCAACGAAGCAACAGCCCTGCCTACAAGGCTTCTGGTAATTTAGCCAATAGTCTGAGGGGCCAAAGGGAGTCTTAGTACATGAGGCATAAAAAGCAGGCCCCAAGAGATGTTCCTGGGTTTTCTCTAGCTACTCTGATAACTAGTCCCATGGGAATCTGCATGTTAAAACTGAAACTTGTTAACCTAAATAAATTTCTAATTAGTTGAATCTAAAGCAGCCTGACAAGAGTGATGGGAAGAGTCTCAGGTAAGGTAAACATATCTTTGGTTGGCAATGTCTTTCAAAACAGCCCCTTCATAAAACAATGAGCGTGTGTTTCTCCAGACAGTTCCAATTAAAGCACCTTTATATAAAATATCTCATTTGAACGACATAACTTGGACAAGTGTTATAATTGTCTCTATTTTAAAGATGAGAGGACAATGGACAAGGTTGTTTAATGACTTTTGTGTGCCCGATACTATGTTAAGTACTTTATATACATTTCTTATTTGGTCTTCACAAGAACCCTGATAGGTAACATCCTCCTGTTTTTGATGAAGGAACCAAGGCTTAGCTACTCTGAATGTTTTGCCCAAGGCCACTTGGCTGGGAAGGTCAGAGTCAGGACTTGAATCCAGGTCTGACTGGTTCCTAGCCCCAGCTGTTTTCAGTATGGAGACCATGTCGGCAAACTCAGGGCCCCCACTCCTAAAGCTGGCCCAAACTGAGGGGAGGCAAAGACCAACATTTATTGAGCCCATTCTACACCATGGACTTTACATGTTATCTTATATGCTCTCCACAACAACCCTTTAAAGTAGGTATTGTCTCCCCTGTATTGTATATAAGAAAATTCCCATGTGATAGTCAGCATTAGTAACAAGTCTTTTAGCTCCAAAGCATACATTCTATTACACAGGTCCTGCAGGCAAACTCTCTGGTCCCTCCCAAAGCTGACTCCATGGGTGCTGTTACACACCCCACGGCACTTTCAGGGAGACAAAGGCCACCAGAATAGGAGACAGTGCCTGTTCTCTCCCTCTCTTCTCCTCCCTTACGGAGCTAACAATCCCATCCTGCTTTCCTTCCTATACAGGTGAGCATCTCCACTGTGGGCTATGGAGACATGTACCCGGAGACCCACCTGGGCAGGTTTTTTGCCTTCCTCTGCATCGCTTTTGGGATTATCCTCAATGGGATGCCCATTTCCATCCTCTACAACAAATTCTCCGATTACTACAGCAAGCTCAAGGCTTATGAGTACACCGCCATACGGAGGGAAAGGGGAAACGTGGACTTCCTGCAGAGAGCCAGAAAGAAGATGGCTGAGTGTTTGGCTAGAAGCAACCCACAGCCCACCCCAAGGCAAGAGAATTAATATTCTGTAGGACAGGAAGCTGATAGACCTGTGACTTTCAAGGCTTCCTTTCTCTTTCCTTTTTTATCATCAGGATTGGCAGTGAAAGGATATGTGAGGCAGATGTACACAAAGGGCATTAAGTTGATGAAGTTCAACCTCTAGAAATGTTCATTTTAACCCAAACCCGGACTGCCTCATACTGTGTTGTGTGAGAGTCTGACCTTCCCAATGACACTGATATTGAAAACTCCTTGAGAGAACATCTTAGATTTCTCTTGTAGCTTCTGATGGCTCCTCAATAAATATTTTTGGACTTGAGTTAACTTGAGAAGAATTTCTTTACATTAAAGAAAAAAAATCCTTAATTTTCCAGAGAGAACGTTGCATCAGGAACTACATGAGCTCTAGAGTTAGACCAACCTCGGTCAGAAACCCAGATCTACCAGCTGTAGGATTTGGGGCAAGTTACTTTAACTGTCTGAGCTCCGTTTCTTCAGCTGTAAAATCTAGGTAATAAGACCTGCCTTGTAATATGAACATGGGGAACAGAGATAATATTTATAAATGCTCAGTAAATGGAGGCTATTAAAACTCTTTGAATGGTGTTTTCTAGTAGATTCTCTAGACTGAAGGCTCTCAACCCAGGAGATCTTGTCATTGTCCATCCCCCCTTCCAACCCTGAGACATTGGGCCATTTCTAGAGACGCTTTTGATTGTCACCATTGTGAAGGAGGATGAGGGGGCTACTGGCATCAGCAGAGTCCTGGGAGGCTGCTAAACATACACAGGACAGCCCCATAGCCAAGAATGATCTGACCCAAAGTGTCAGTACAGCCCAAGTTGAGAAACCTTGGTCTAGAGTTAATATTGTACAAGAGCTCCCAGACTTGACCTGTGAGACATGCTCAAGTGTGCTCGTCCTCCTTCCCTTGATAGGAGTTCACACATGTCTTCACTTCTCCCAGCCTCCTTTCCCTTACCTTTTCACAAAAGAACAAAAATAAACAAAAAAACCTCTGCCTTTTGTGGATTGTTCTGTGCTGAGCACTAAACAAAGGGAATTAAATCGATGTGGTCCTCTGTTCCGGGCTCCACCTGTGGGTCAGAAAACCATTTCCGGGCTGGCCGAGTGGCGTGATGGTTAAGAGCTGGCTTGGGACGCCAGAGGGCCCTGGTTCGGATCCCACATATGAGGGCCAGTGACACTGCCCTCCACAGCTAAGATGCTGAACAACCTCAACCTGGAGCTGGGCTGCCGTGAGTCGCCGGCCATGACATAGGCTGCAGCCCCTGTGGCAGTGGGTTGCCATGGGCTACCGTGTGTAGCCAGCAGCCAGCGTGAGCGGCCGTCCAGAAGCCAGCGACTGATCTGCCTCGCCTGGGAAGAGTGCAATGATGGTGCCAACTTGGGCCAGTGAAGCAACGTCCTCCACAACTAGATTGAAGAACAAAAGGACAGCAACTTGTCTGTTCCCCTTTCCCCAATTCCCCAGCGCTGTTCCCATCCCCCAATTCCCCAATAAAAATCTTTAAAAAAAGAAAGAAAAGAAAAGAACACCATTTCCTACAGGGCGCCGCCCTTTCTCTCCCTGTTCCCTTTTCCTAATCCCTTCCTTCCTCCACAGGCCTATTAGAAATTGAAGTCCTGGAAATGAAAGGCTTGTTCGCACTGAGCCAACAGAGATTGTCCCTGTAAGTAGAGCTTTTGCCATGCTGACCATCAAATTCATCTCAGGGCATGACTGGACCTACGCTTCTGTGATAAAAATAAGAGTAATCGTTTTTGTGCATTCTTACAATAACAGGCACTGTAGGTTGTATTTTATAATGTATAACTTCATTTAATCCTTAATACACCCCTAAATAAGGTATTACATTCCTTTTTATTTAGGAAGAAATGCAAGCTCAGAGAGGTTAAGTAATTCGCCAAGTTGACAGTCAGTAAACGATGGGACTGGATTTTCAGCCCTGGTCTGTCTGACCCCCGAAGGCTCTTGCTCAAAGTCTACACTTGTGGTTTTCAAATTGCATCAGCATCAGCTGGAGGGCTTGCTGGGTCCACCCCCAGAGTCGCTGATTCAGTGGATCGGGTGATGCCCAAGGCTCTGCATTTCTAGCAAGTGCCAGGTGATGCTGATGGTTCAGGGACCACATTCTGAGAACCAAGGGGGTCTAAATCACTTCACTCTGTACCTCCCATGATGGGCTATGAATATGAAACTAGAGTGCAGCTGGAAAAACTAGATTTAGATCTCCCTCTCCCTTACTCCGAAGCACCCTTAACATCATAAGTGACGTTATGATGGCATCTGAAGGGCAAACAGAAGCCCTACTATTGGAAGGTTGCTAGATAAAATACAGAATGCCTGCGTAAATTAAAATTTCAGGTAAATAAAAAATAATTTTTAGAAGTACATCCCAAATATTGCATGGTATGTACTTCCATTAAAAATTATTTATTGGGCAGGCCAAGTGGCTCAGTTGGTTAAGAGCTTGCTCAAGAGTGCAAGCTCTGAGCAACAGCGGTTCAATGCCTGGCCCGAGCTGAGTTGCCGCTGAGCTGCCAACAGGTGGCAGGATGGCTCAGCTAACAACAACAACAAAAAATTATCTATTGTTTATCTGCAATGCAAATTGAACCGGACATCCTGTATTTTCATTTGCTAAATCTGGCAACCCTATACTATTGCTTTTGAGAGACAAAGTTTCCTCATATGGGTGGCAATTACCCCCGAGTCCTAAAACAGGACACTCAGCTAAGGGGGACTTCTCTTCCCTCTTGTCAAAGAGGGAGGAATTTTGAATCAGGCTCCTTGCCAGGAAGAATCATGAAAACAGAGTTGCAACAGGCAGGAGGTCAGCACACAGCTTATATAACCACCTGACAGGCTCAATGCAGCAGCTGCCGCTCCCAGTCCACCTCCAGCCTTCCAGTTCCTTCTGAGGTCTCCGCAGGAAGGGTTTGTTGATGAAGTGCATCTGCTGGGGCTGTTAAGGCCACAGAGACTAGGAAGGCCCAGCGTCTATCACCCCTCCCTCTGCTCGAGGCCCAGGAGAATGACCCTGACCAGCCCAGAAGAAGAAACTCCCTGAGAGAGAAGGGTGGAGACCATTGGGGGGAAGGGTGGGGGGGCCTTGGTGAGGAAGATGAACTTTTCCAGGTCCCTAGGAGGGGATCTGGTAAATGACAGCAGGCCCCTCCTTCCAGTCTCACTGGCCACATCTGCTCAGACAGCTGTGCTCTGCCTCCCAAGAGAATGAGACTGACAGAAGGGAGTGAAAACAAAATAACCAACATTCCATGAGCTCCAGTGTGCGCCAGGCACAGAACCAACATCATTTAATCCTTCAATAGCCCTAGGAAGTAGATTTCAAGGTAGTCACTTACAGAGGCTTAGCCACATTGAACTTGACATGCTCTTTGGATCTGGATTTGAAACCTGGGTCTGCCATTTACTGTGAGGTTGCATCGTGTGCAATTGCCATTTTCATGAAAAAATGGCTGAATTATTGGCAATTTCATCCGGTATAATGTAATAGTTGTGTGGTTACTTAATTTCTCTAAGCCTCAGTGTCTGCATCATTAAAATGGAGATGATAGTAGTGTCTTACTCAGGACAGTAATGAAATGGCCTATGTATGATAAACCCTTAGCACACAGTTTGGCTCATGTTAAGAACTAAATAAATGTGGGCTATAATTATCATCATCATTAATACTTTGCTGGCTGTGTAGGAAAACTGTACAAGCCCAGATAGAGTTGCTTGTCATCAAGGAGAGGATTCTGTGGGTGGAGACAGCTTTTGAATCCTGTGGCCAGCCCACTAGCCCATTCAGAGCCAAGCACAAGGACCCAGACTGGTCTATCCAATAGAATCTGCTATAGCGATGGAAACGTAATGCACTATTTAATACAATATAGCCACGTGTGACTGCTGAGCACTTGAAATGCAGCTAATGTGATTCAGGAACTAAATTTTAAGTTGTACTTAATTTTAATTAATTTCATGTAAAATTTACATGACCATACATAGCTACAGGCTACCATGTTGGACAATGCAGTTGTAGGCCCTCCTTCTGCCCTCATGGGGCATTTGCTCTGAGGTCAGGAGAGGTGCTTGGCTTTTGTGGGGAGTGGGACTGAGAAAAGAAAATATGGCAGTTCTCCTGTTCTGGGCTGGGGCGAGTTTCCAGGTCATCACAGGTGGCACTGGAAGCAAAGGTTGGCTGATCAGATTGGTGGCTTGGAACAGCCTCCTTTGTTAAAGAAGAAAGGAGAAATAACCTTCCAAAGCATGTGCAACACCGAAAGAGCTCTCAAAGGAGCGCCATCATTTCAGTGGGTCCCAACCTTTACCCTGAGGGGCTTGGGCTCCCTCACTTGTGCCAGCTGAAGGCCTCCTTAAACTCCTAACCCAAACTGGATCAAAAACACATTTCCCTTATTATAACCACAGCTTCAAGGATATAAGTACGTATGTTCACAAGAAATCTCTCTGAAAATTAAAGGAAAACATTAGGTTACCATCCCCCCCAAACAGTCCCCAAAGATTCGAGGTCTAGGAAAGTCGGTTTAAGATTTTCTGAGCTTCAAATTCTCTTCTCCCAGGCTGATGCCCTGGCCGCCCACACCAAGATGGCTGTGGTTCCCTACACCTCAGTGCTCTCTCTTCCTCCCTGTTCAACTCTGATGTGACATCCCTAAAACTCACGTGCAATCTACTTTATATGTCTATGCTTTTTCTTTTTTATTAGTTTCAGGTGTACAGAACAATGCAATAGTTATCCTTTTCACCCCTCACAAAGAAACAACCCCTCTCCCCCATCTACAGCCCTCCCACCCCCGATATCATGCTTATCTATTACAATGCTATTGACTCCATTCCCACACTCTACTCCACGTCCCGTGACTATACATATATATAATTATAGTTGACATACAATATCATTCAACATCAGCTTCAGAAATACAGTGTGGTCGTCACGGCTCTACACTGTCTATGAAGTGGTCTCCCTAACAAGACATGAGTCCATCTGGCCCCCTAAAAAATATATGTCTGGGTCTTTTCCCTTTGTCTGTCTAGAGCCACTATTCTGCCCTGCTGCATGGTCCAAGGGGCCTGTCTTCCATGTCTGTAACACCCAGACTCCCTTGTCCTTGGGCAGGATATTTGCGGATGAGAGGAGAGACCATTCTGAGTATTCACTCCCCACCCTCTCCCTGTGTGGCAGTAGTCTGGGAAGCAGCTGAGTTCCTACAGCCGTGACTCAGTTGAGCAGCCTTCCTGATTGGCCACAGCACTCACAGGTTCCAGGGACATCTTCCCCTCCTGTCATCCCTTCAAGCCTACGAGTGGTAATGGCCTATTGCATTGCTAGTCACTGATTATCTCACCACCCCATGTTGCTTCGCTTAACCCTGCCCATCCCTCTGTAAATCTCTTTAAATAAACCCTTTGAGTGTGCCGCCTTTTCCTCACTGGAATCCTGATTAGTACATCTTGTCTACCTTAAGAAAAACATATCGCTCATATTTCCCAAATCACCACCAAAAAGATGAAGCATGTTTATCTGAAGATTCAGGCCTCCTAACATATCACCCCAGTCTGAGAAACACAGCCCTTGGATTTATAGACCAGGAGGCATATTCAACTCACAGATGGTTGGTAGGGCTGTGATGATTGGCATCTTTAAGTGCCAATACATGATTCATTCTTCTTGTCAAAGTCTCTGCTCTTTTTAGGGGTTTTCAAGGACTCAGTCTGTTGAGTTCCCTTCCCCAGCCCCATCCCACACATGCTAATGAATTTTCATGACTACATGATGGAACAGTATGCATAAAACGAGTTGGACTATATGCTCCTTGGGACAGAAGGTGTCCTCTGAGGACATCAAAAAATTATCTTGGCCAGACTCCTGCCTTCACTTAGGTAAGGTTTTATTAACCTTGTTTTGTAAGTGATACAACAGAAGTTCAGAGCAGAAATGTGCCCAGAGATGACAAGCATCTATTTCCC